AAGAACATATTTTGAGTTATTTTGCTAGAATCTAATTAACTTTAAACTGAACATCCTCCTAAACTAAGTTTACATCAGAGTTTTTAAAGCAAAGCAGGGTTGTATTAGTAATACTGCAGCTGAGACAGACAATAAAGCTAGGAAGAATGAGGCAAGAATGTCAGAGAGCAAATAAACCCGTACTGTAATACCAGTAATACAGTGCATATTCTTATAATTTGGCCAGGGTTATGGACATTTACTTGACAGGATTATTTTTCAACCATTGTATGTCTCACTTTCAGATGTTTTACCAGGGATACCATTGTATGTCTCACTTTCAGATGTTCTACCAGGGTCAGCAGTGACTGCCATATGTAAATTACCATCTGGTTTTTTAACTCAGAACAGGATAATTTTAAAGTAAATCCAAATAACTTTCTTTTATGTATGCTAAACAAATAAATGGTTCAATCCTTCCCTAGTTACCAGTCCACAAAGGTTCTCAAACATTCTCATGCTTCATAAACAGAAGGGTTAAGGGTGATGTTTTATGGGAAAATAATAGTCAAGGTGACATACCAGTTTCTCAGGAGAATCAATGGAAAGCCTATTAACTTTGGCTTGCAGATGGAAATACTCAGGTACAGAGATGAGAAATCATTTTTGTCAGTATGTCAGTGAGAGAAATTATGTTTTCTAATTTGCTGGCCCCATGGCAGTCAGAGATGGAAATGCTTGTTTTATTGGGTCACATCATGTGCTCCCTGCCTGTAACTGAAGGAGTTCCATCAGTTAGCTGTAGCCTGGTGACTGAGCAGACATAGGTTAACTAGTTCATTTCCTGGCCATACAGACTTTCTTTGAGAGTGTTTATGTGCTAGGAAGGCTGATTTGCCAGGCATATCTAAAAGATGTTCTTATTGACAACTGTTTTTACCTTCTGATTTGTTTTTTGCCTCTGTGGCCTAGGAATTTATAAGTAACAGCTGTGTAATAGCACTCTCCTACCTCAGAGGACAAAAAAGAACTGAAGATGACAAAATCCACATATACAACAGTAACTATGGCCATGCCAATATGACTGGAAATGTAAGGCTGATTGTAATCAATGAGGATCATTAACAGTCATGTAGCATAAGCATTGTCATGTTCATTCTCCATCTGCCCTTCCACAAGAATTTAAGGAATTGCAGTAGCCAATGCATGTGTGACCTGCTGCTGTCTCTCCTGCCTCCTCACAAGTGCATTCCAGTTGCCACACATGTATTGGGTTTGACCATATAACAGCAGAAGATTCCACTGAGTAGTGTCAGAAATTTTACTCCAAGTCACAAGACTTCTTCCCTAACAAGAAAAAAAATCAGTCAAGAAACAGTGTCAGGAGGACCATGACCTCAAGATGTTTGGTTTTTTGTGCTTTTTTCCTCTTGCTTAAGCAGTCTATTTCCGAGATCAGCAAAGGAAAGCTCCATTCATTTTGTACCACACAGAATGTGTTTTGTTTCCATAAACAGCTTTATTAACTATAGCAAAACATTCTATTATCTGAAGAAATACTACTCAAGAACTGAAAATAATTAGGCTTAAATCTTCCTAACCTGTTCCAATTCACTTAAACCTGTTGAAAGTTCTGTGTTAAGCCATATATTGTGCACTTTTATGATTAGTCAAGATTGTGATTACTTGTCCCATTAAAATACAGATCAAGTGAACATTTAAGTTATATGTGAGGCTTAGTTTCCTTTGTCCAAACATTTTGCCAGTTAGACTGAATTTTTTTAAGGCTAATAGACAACATTTCAAGCAAAACTCAAACTGGTACAATTTGGTTTTGCTTTATGGCTGAGAATGCCAGGCTGGTGACTTCAGTACATTTGCACAGCTTCACTGACACCTGTACTGGCTCAGGTAGGGCTGATAGCACTGACCTATGGCCAATGTGTATGGGATTAAGGAAGCTACTAAAATATGGGAGAATTCAGCTGAAACAACTAAAATTTCAAGGAATGTGAAATTCTCAAATACAAATACCTATCAAATATCCTTGGAAAACAGTACTTCATGGGTTACCTGCTGGTGAATGAAGAATAATGCTAGGCTTAGGAATACTTAAAATACAAGGATTGGCTATTCCTCAGTAAAGCCTCAACTACCTAGGTGCTCAAAGATTTCTCAAGCATAATATATCTAGCCAAACCAATGATTTTTATGCTAGAGATGATTCTGCACCACCAGATTAAAGAAATGTGAAGGAGGAAACCTTGATTAAGTATTGTTTGCTTACTGGAGTCCAGACCTCCTGTAACTCTACCCTGCTTCATCTTTACATCCTAATTCCTCCTCACACAGGTTTGTGCCCTGATGCCAACTTAGCCTTAGCTCCTTCTCAGTCACAGAAGGTAACAGATCTACAGATGAGGACAACAGCTCCTGCACACCCCAGAGAGAAGGAAGCTGATCTCTGACCCTCTAGCAAGGCCAATCCTGGAAGAAGGTACCAGCTAGAGCTTCCAGCTGTGGATGGAAACAGTCATGCTCATTTCCTAAGAAGCACACATGAAAAAACTTCAGGCTTGGCCACTACAAACATGGTGCAAGTTGCAAAGCTATACAACCTTATTTCCCTCCTGGATGGAAAAGTGATGCAATGCAGTTTCACTGACTTCATGCCAAGTCATGCCTTAAATCAACAACAAATGAAAAGCAGAACATAATCATACACACATTAGAACAAGTGTTAGGGGTTCTCAAGAATTATAAGGGAAAAAACATAACACTTGGACTTTTGTAATTTTTTGTTTCTTGAACAGTCTTGAACAGCATTAAAATACAGACAGGACTAGCTGGCAAAAAAAGCAACTTCCCATTGACTTTATAATCTATCAAAACCTGACACTTTTATGGGCAGAACTTTTAAAAATACATAGCTCTAAATCAATTAAAATATTCAGAGAAGTATACAAAACAGTTCAAAGGAGCACAAAGCTATGATACAGGCTCCTTTAAAAAATGTCTTCTCACTTATTTTCTCTGTCTTCAATTCACTGTCAACCAAGGGGAAAATCTTTACTGAGTAATTTCCTAGAGAAATAATATTTCTGTAGCCAAGGTTCTGCAGCTGGAGCAGGGAAATGCACAAGATTATCAGGTGGTCTCTTACAATACAGGTCAAAGAAACACATTAATAACAGGAGACACAGTATATTTTTTTATTATGGAATTTTCAAAATTTGCCATACAAACATAATAGAGGAGAAAATTTCTCAGTAGCTACACTAAAATCTACAACCTCAGATTCACTGATGAAGTAACAGGCCATTTTTCATACTCTGTCTGCTGTATGAGTTGAAAAACTAAGAACAACAGTACAGTTTAAAGTACTTGGCATATGGATCACAGTGCTAAAACATTCCACATTGCACTTTTACAGCCGAAATTCATTTCCAGGTAAGAACACAGCATTGCTTTTATTTTACTTGCTAACGAGGATAATTGGCAGGCAACACTGCTGCTGCTCTAGATTTATTCTTTATATGGATCTCTGAAGACCACATGTGCATGCAGTGGTGACAGAAATATTTTCCATATGAGCCACCACACGTTTTGAGGTCCCTCTGTCTGGACAAGGTGAGTCCATCTATCATTTTCTGTGCTCAGTAACAATCAACCAGGAAGTTAAAAACTTGTGTGACAACTAGAGGGCAATGATCAGCTTCCAGCTGCTCTGATCATCAAACCATTTAAATTTGTTGAGACTCTGCTGAAAACTTTTCCCTGCTTTAACCAGATCAAAGGCAGCTCAAGATTTCATTAAGAGACATTTTCTTGACTCAAAACCGTTACAACTTCTCTTATTAAAACACCCTGAAAGCAAAATAAAGTTTATATCTAGACATAGGAGCTACAGAGAGTGTCAACCACACACTGCTGGACAAGGTGTTTTTTCCAGTTCTCTTCTACTTTTCTTTACTGGGGAAAGTAATTGCTCTGGACTTCATTAGGCTTCTATAAAGTTATGACAGGGCTAACAAAAGATAAAACTTTAAAACAGAATCACTGTTTTCAGAAGATTTACTTAAAGCAGGCATATTTATGGAACAAAACTGTCCAATGATTCCATTAAAATGCACAGCTATACATCTCATTTCAGTCAGAGCGAGGGAGAATGAGTATCATGTGCTTTTGGCTAGTCATTTCATTAGATGGAATATTTTACACCTAATAGTACTGTGCATGCTGAATTATTTCCTAAATGGCAAACAAGTAGCTGAAAATTTCTGCTTTGGTATGAAATAAGAACTTGATGACAAACTGCTCTGATGAGGACAAAAATCTGGAAAAAGGTTCTTCATAAATCAAGCAGCAACTTTTAAAGCATAGCAAGAGCTGTTCTATTCCACAGTTCAAGATTTCTCATATTAGGAATGCATAAAGTCCCTCTTCAATGATATGATATGCATCTTTTAAAAAAATCAAGTTTTTTCTGCCCTGCCACATATTAAACGTTACATATATTTGCACAAAGGGCATGTTATTAAAGTAATGAAGCCTGGAGGTTTTACATGCTGACATCCCCAAAATATATCCTGTGTAAAAACTTTTCCAATAATGCACATATTTTGTAGAAAATCTGAACAAAACACTACCATCGACTGCTGCAGAGTATCATATTTCTCTGTATGTTAGTAAAGAAAAATTCACAAATTAGTCATCTTTCACAGAAAGCATATTATATATTAACCCAAGAGAAGTTCACTTTCAAACTACTCTCCTTTAGTACCTATAGGCTTCTGCAAAAAATCCCAAACCAACAGCAAAAAAAGCAAACAAAATCCCCAAACCAAAATAAACCCTCAAAACTAATCCAAAACAAAACAATAGCTTTTTATACACGAAGCAAACAATGCAATGCTAAAACATCTAATAGCATAAAAATCATTCACAGTCCATCTTAATAGAGATGAAGAAAATGCAACTCTGCTAAGACAATTTTTGACAAGACATTATACTTTGCTTACCTCACCCCCAGGTCTTGCTAACACTGCTGTTTGAAAGCAGAGCAACGTTAGTATCAGGTAGCTGACAAACATTATTACCCAAAGTTAGAGCTACCCTGGAGGAGCAAACCCTCTGCCAAGTACTAACAGCTAGCAGATGCACTTGTGTCTCAGTATCACAGCCCTTAGTTCTTCTAGGTACGAGTCTTTCTCCCTCTCCCCCTTTCTCTCGCACTCACGGTACGACCAGGAACTTTGCTCTCAGCCACTGCTCTGAAGACAACTGGTAAGTTGATCTCTTCATGTAATGACTTCTCCCTGCTGGGGGAGGGGGCTCGGCCAGCAGTGAGCTGGGGGGCTGCAGCTAGCATGAAGCAAAGAAGGGGAGGGACAGAAATGGTCACTGCCAAGTTATGCATCTGCTGTGATTCATGGAACAAGCTAAACGGTAACCTTTAATGCACGAGGAGGTTTGGCAAAGCTTTATTGACTTAGGCAGGCATGATTGGAGAAACAGGCTAAAGCAGCTTGCAAAAGATGCCTGTTGATGGTTAGAAGGCATGTGCTACTTAAAGGTACAGCACCTCCTTTTATCGAAGAAGTTCGTAATAAATGAAGCGTTAATTAAAATCTAATCAGGAAGCAGCCTATGGTTGTACAGTCAGCCCTACAGCAGCACAATCCTGCAACCCAAACAGCCTGATCCTGACAGGGGCTCAGCAGAACCTGAGAGCTCTCACTCCTGGCCCCAGTGAACACCAAGGGGAGCCCAAGTGAGCATTCACTCTCCAGAATGTCACAACTGCTTCCTGAAACGGACCCCCACCCTTTGGGATAATCCTGCAGCAGGATATGCATGTAATCTCTCTTTCACATTAGAGCTGAATAAAAGAATTTTTGGTTTATGACAATCTAACCCATCAAAAAAACTGCTTTGACTAAGCAAACGGAAGTGCAAGCCTTGCTTAAAGTTCCAACTCCCGAAGTCAAGAAAACACACCATATTCTCATCTTTCATGTAAATACATACTTCTTATCCTTATGGTTGCAGGGGAAATCTCAAAAATATGACCCAAGAATAACCTGGTCTCATATGTCAGACAGTAAACCACATGAACTCAGAATACAGGTACTTTAAAATACCTCAACGTTTTAGGAGGTGGGAAGTCAAAATGTTGGTGAAATTGAGAGTGTCACCATTACTATGTATTAGATTTCCTTTTGTAATTTGGTAAGCTTTGTATACACAGCTGAATATGTCAGACTCCTCAGCCTATTTTTAAACTAGCTTTACCAACCATTCTTTTCCTCTCCTATGAGAGGTGAAACATAAAATAGTTTTCCTTTTTTTTTATATTCAAACAAATTATAACAGAATACTTTCATGTGTTCGAGAGCTTTCTGAATTGCAATTAAACACAAACTCCTAAACCACTACAGAAAATTAGCATTTTTGCTGCTACTAAAAGCCCAGATTCTGCTGTATTTGCATTTGGATATCTGGTTCTCCAGCATAGTAAAATCTGACCTCTATGAATTAGACATCATTGTCACTTCTCCTCTTCCCTCTCAATCCTTTCCTTTTTCAGACCCCTGGTGTTGCTCATAAAGAGCCCTATCTCTTCCCCTGCCAAACCTGACTCAGTCTGTGTCTCCTACACATAGAGAAAAGCCTCTCAAATCAGCAGATCACCTTTCACAGGTCAACCTTTCCCTCACCCTGTTGATACACAGCCTTGCAGCCTTGTGGTTCTAGCAACATCACTGCTGGTTCCTGCTGGCACTGTGCTCTGGGAGGTAGGAAGCATTGTGATGTATGCCAGGCAGAACTGGGGGTCTCAATGCCAAAAGAGTCCTCTTCAGCTGACTCTCCTTGAGGGAGCAGTCCAAGCTTAAGAAGGTTTAAAAAGGCAGAATGAGAGTTTCAGTATGGAGCTCATGAGTGGCTCTTCCCAAAGATCAGAATGAGCACAAGCAGTTGGCCACAGAGTTGTGAGAATGGTGACTGGCAGTAAAATCTGCACTTTTTGAGAACTTGACACTATAACCTTAATGGTAGTTCTGGCAAAAATAATCCAGAACTCTTTGTTACTATGTTGATCTCACAAATACAACACCTCCCTTCAAGATCTAAGTGAAAGAAGTATTTCTCCCCTTTTAAGGCAAACTGAAGGTTTGCAGATTATACTGTGGTGCTGACAGCTAAATGTAGAGCTGCCATTACAGGTACTTTGTACACTGGTTGCCTATGGCAAAGTCTCCAGACTAAAAATGTAAAGCCAAACAAACTTAAGGAAATTTTCCATCAAAACCCTGTCAGGAAGCCAACCTGTCCTTCCAAATTTTTTTGAAATATCTAGATATACCACAAAAGGAAAAAGGATAGTGAGCAAACTGCCAACAAAACTGGAGTTCAAAACCCTTCCAACATGAGAACTCCAACTATGATACTTTGAAAACACAGTTTCAGTGCTTGCAAAAATGTTATAAAAGAATACACCATTTCAGATGTTGCAGTGCGTAACAAAAACTCCAATGATGAAAGCTGCTTCATGCAGATTGACTACTGCTTCCATAAAATTAAGCTTTATGTTCTACTGTTCTTCACAAAGTGTACTAGTTTTTATGAATAAATACATAGCACAAAGCTGCCAATCTTCTCTTTTTTGATGTCAGGTCGAAAAGCAATTTTGAAAATAAGAAAAAAATGTAGAGTAACTGTAATTTTAGTCTTCTGTGCTGACCATTCCAGAAAGCAGTATATTCTATGTAAATATGTAAATAATAAACAACCTTATTGAAGCCTAAGTGAATATTATTAGGATGAGTTTCTGAGCACAGAAAACTGCACTGCATTCCCATTTAATAAGTCATATAACTAATTCTTTCCATATGCATTCAATTTTTCCTCTACAAAAAATACAGGCAGAATTCCCTGAATTTCAGAAGCTGGAGCTCTGTTCTCCATATTAAGACAAGAGATCTGTTCATACCTGCTCCTATGCCTTCAAGCTTTATCCCACTGAACTGGATGGAATTGTGCATGTTCACAACCACCAACTTTCTTTACAGCACTAAGTAACTTGAAACTTAACACTGTGTCAAACTTGCACTGCTGAAACCAAGACCAGAATTTATCTGTAAACCTCAACAATCACTACACTGGAGATTACAAAACTACTGGGGCAACAGGAAAAAAAATCAGTTTATCACTGATGAACTATTTCAGATGTGAAGTTCTGTAGTAGCAGATAGAGAAATCAAAATACATGGTAGTATATGTACATAGTAAAATGGACAAAATAAGATGTCTCTAATTTCAACACTAGAACATCCTTGTTTTTACCTAGAAACATACAAACGTAGCAGAATAACAGCAAAAGGATTTTAAGTATATACTTGAAATAGAAAATCCAATATTAAGAACTTTTTTACAACAGAAAAAGCAATCAGAATCTTTTGGGAAAACGTTCCTATCTCTTACTCTCAGAAACAAAAAAAATATATAAAGCAAACAACAGATCTTTGGACAGTGCAGCTCTCATTTGAAAAGTACTGACTTTTCATCTGTGAATGAATTAACTGTCAGTCTCAAGGGGTTTTGTAAATATCAATCAGTTTATGAAGTTTGCTTATGAGCTACCTCCTGAGGCAAGTGCAGCTGAATCTCAAACAAGGACAAGTTTTTTAAACTTATTAAAAGCAGCTTCTCTTCCAGGTCTCTCAGCCTTCCTGTAATTCCACATAAGATCATGAGGAGTAAGCTCAGACAGCATCACTCACAGCTACTGCTTTCTGCTAAAGGTATATTTGCCTAGAAAGGTAACCAAATTCCTAATATAAAAGTAATAGTACGTGAAAACATGAGTCAAAACGAGATTTTAAAGACTTCCTTTCTACTTCCTACAGCCTTAATGTTTGTAGAGCTTAACTGTCAAAGTCTTACAGCAAGATAACATGAAGCATAGTTCCTTATTTCAGGCTGAATTACTTGAGAACAAGACACTGACAATTTCTGTGTATTTCAAAGTATTAATACATACAAAATAACGAGTCTAATTCACATTTAGTCACTACAGGTGCAACATCAATGTCACTGAATCTGCAAGGAAACAGAAGGTTGACTGGAACATGTGCTAGTGCTCAGCTGCAGTGTGTAAACCAATGAACTATTGGAAAGGAAGATAAAGGCCAAAACATGTTTGCTGTTACAGGGTAACACATAAGCCCTTTAATTGTTTCTTCTGTTAATTTGCTTTGGACAGATATCATCTTCCAGGAATCACCAACAGAAAAAGCAGTCGACAGTGCATATTCTATTACTATTTAAGAAGAGGTGTTGGGTTTTTATTGCAATGTTTCATGTTAAAATTTAACAGAGGAAAAAAAAAGGCTGAATGTACTAGAAGTTTAGTACCAATTACATGAGATGCTGGTGAACAACAAAAGAAAAATCAAGTGAAAAAACAAGGGGGTTTTAAATTTTATTTAAAGAATAAAGTTTATGCTTAATTAAACACTTGAAATAAAGAAGTCTTTTGCCACATTAGGTGTGCGTGAGCAGACAGGGAATTTCCACTGCAGAAAGAATGCATTTTCCTTGAAGATTAAACAGTACTGAGGAGGAAGGATGGAGAAAAATGCCCCTCCCTCCCCTTCTTTCTTGGATTCATCACAGAGGTCTTTACATCCACTCCACTGGTTTCTACCATTCACTGGGCAGAGGGTGATGAAGAAGAGAAGAGATACTCTTGCCTCTCCCTTCTATAGTTCAAGCAATTCCCCTTGCCACTGCAGCTCTTCTGAGAGGCTGCTCACACTCACACTGAATCTGAATTTCAGCAGTGTCTCTATCTCTTACTGACCAGGAACAGCTGAAGTAACAAAAGGTGCAAGAACCAAGAAGGAGTATTTGGACCTTTACACAGGCCATAAAACAAAACAAGACCCACAAAGCTTGGGAAGGAAGATAAAGTGTGAGCTGTGTATTACAGCCTAAAGGTTAATGCTATGGAGCCCTGTGAGAGTGAACCCCAGATGCTGAGCACCTTGCAGGAAACAAGTCCCAGAGCATCAGATGTATTCCACTGCAT